TATATATATTATTGATTTGAGAAATGAAGAGAGAGAGAGAGAGAAACATCAAAGATGAGAAACGTTAATCAGCTGCCTCCTGCACGCCCCACACTGGGGATCGAACCCATAACCCGGGCATGTGACCTGACTGGGAACTGAACTGTGATCTCCTGGTTCATAGGTCGATGCTGAACCACTGAGCCACACCAGCCTGGGCTTTGTCTACTTTCTTCCCTTCATTTCTTGTCCATTATTTACCAGCTGTAACCTTTTCATCAACCAGCCTCAAAATCCTTGTCAGCTATACAGGGACAGTAACCACCTTGTAGAGTTGTTGGACATGAGCCCGTATACTGACACTTACACCATAGGCTGTCTCATTCTAAAGCCAGTGCCAGCCTTCCCCACCGCAGCCCTGCACCTCCGCAGCCTCCACCCCCTGGGGCCAGCCCACAGCGGGTCCACCCGCCCAGCTCCCCGCTCACTCTGTTCGCTTAGGCCCTGTGTACACCTTCTTCAGTATGACGAGCCCATGGGACCTGTGGAAACACAAAGACACCTTCCCAAAGCCCCCGCTATCTAGGGGCGCCTCCTCCTGGAAGTCACTGGATTTCATCTTAATGTCATCCAAGGACATGTCTGGTTTCCTTCCGATGTTCAGAATGTTCAAAAACACACCACCTTTTCTTCACCTCAGAGCTGTGCCCTGTAAAGAAAACAAGAAACCATCTCAGTGCAGAAAACTCATTATACTAAAACCACGTGTTTGGTGGACGATTTTTTGAGGATAGACTTATAATGAACATTTTCCCATATTTCTAAGAATCACAGAAGACCACAATTTTGATTCCTTAGACTTTCATTTCTGGCAACACACAGGACTAGAAAAGTTTGAACACCCTCCTGCTACAAAGGACCCATATATGTCGGGTAACACAATACAAACACGCACTCCCATGCACAGCTAGGTCAGCAGGAAGGAAACCCCAGGGACTGAACACACACAGGGCCCTGGCCACAAGCCGTGGCCCACACAGTAGCTGCTGTGGACTGAATGTTCGGGGCACCCCCAAATTCACACATTGAAGTCCAATAAGTAGTATTAGAAGGTGGGGCCTTTGGAAGGTAATTCGGTCAGGAAGGTGGAGATTAGTTTCCTTCTCTCTCTCTCCACCACGTGAGGGCACAAGAAGATGGTCTGTAAGGGAGCCCTCGCCACACACAGGTCTGCTGGCACCTTGATGGTGGACTTCTCAGGCCTAGGACTGTGAAAAATAAATGTCCTTTGTTTAAGACACCCAGCCTGAAATCTGTCCTAGCAGCGAAATGACTAAGACAGTGGCCCTCTGGACACAACTAACTCGCTATCCATAAGCCAGGGACCAAAACCCAGATGGGACAAGAGCTGAGGTCAGGAAATGCAAGAAGAGGGTTGAAAGAAAGATCTCCCTTAACGCGGCACTCCTCGGTGTGCTCCCCTACTCGTCCATGAAAGGATGGACTAGAAAAAAAGCAGTCCATTAGCAAAGGAACTCATCTTACACTGGGCCTGGGGTATAAAAAATGTCTGTGAATTCATAACCTTGGGGCTGTCCTCAAATAGACTTGAGCTTTGAATGTAGCCAGGATTCTTATAGCCATGACTCCCCAAACCAAGAACTTTTACATAGAAAGCAGTCACAGACTGATGGCATCCCTGGATTATAATCCTAAAGCAAACACAATCCAGCCAGGCCAGACAAGATTCCCAGAAATAAAGAACTAAGTTAACGTAGGCTCCCTTTCCAAAATTATAAAACACAAAGAAAAAGTTCATCACGAACCAGACTCAGCTGAATATTAGGCATTACAGGTAATTAAATTGCTGAATAGCTCTAAGGTAATTATGAACATAAGAAGGAATTTGAAGAATATCAAAAGAACGATGCACTATCTAAAAAGAACAGGAAGATGTGAAAAAAATTAGGATTTGGAGAATCCGTACACCAATGCTATGAAGTATACAATGCATACAATTTCAAAGAAGAACTATCTGCTTCATCCTTCTACTCTTCTTCCATTCACTGTATTCATTCAGTTTCCCTAAATTGAAATGAAGAATAAAAATCCATGGGGCAGCACGAGACACTACTACACACTCACCAGAATATACAAATAATGGCGAAAATATGAAGCAACTGGATTCCCATTGTGTTGGTAGGAGTATAAAATTGTACAATTACTTTGGGAAAAGGTCTGGCAGTTTCTTATAAAACTAAACATATACCTACACTATGACCCAGCAATTCCAAGCCAAGAGAAATGAAAACATATGTCCCAAAAGATTTGTGCAGTGTTCATAGCAGCTTTATTGGTAATAGCCCCAAACTGGAAACAGCTATTTATCAATAAGAGAATGGGCAAAAAGCCCCTGTGGTATATTCATACAATGGAATACTACCCAGCAATAAAAAGAAACAAACTACCAATACAGACAACAATGTGAGTGAATCACAAATACATTGTGCTGAGTAAAGCCTTTTACACAAGAATGTATACTATATAATTCCATTTATATGAAGTTCTAGAACAGTCAAATTAATCTGTGTTGTTAAAGGAACACTGGTTGCCGGGGCCAGAGTAAGGATTGAGTGGGATGAGGCATGGGGGACTTTCTGGGGTGAAGGTAATGTTTTAGCATCTCAGTGGGGAGTTAAGGTTATACAGGCATAAGCATTGGCCAATACTCAGCAGGTAATACTCTTCGGAACTGCAGGTACATTTTACATCAAAAGAAAAATGTGTAAACATATTGAACTCTAGCAAGTGGTGTGCATGCTGAAATACTTAGGGGGAAGTATACTGATATCGCTGACTTACTTTGCAGACAGACTGGTGGATAGAGAAAGGGATAAGTGATGGATGGCTATGCAATAAAGCAAGCAGAGTAAAATTATGTTAATGGTGGATATGTGTGAGTTCACTGTAAAAACTTTTTAACTTTGAAGTTTTTATAATAAAACTAGAGGCCCGATGCATGAAGATTCATGCAAGAATGAGCCTTCCTTCCCCTGGCTGCTGGCACCACCTTCGCTCTGGCCTGGAGCAGCCTTTCTGCCTTCGTTCCGCCCGGAGACGCCTTTCCGCCACCCCGCTCCTGGGGCTCAGCATCTGCGTATGCAAATTAACCCACCATTTTTGTTGGGTTAATTTGCATACTCACTCCTGATTGGCTGGTGGACATCATGAAGGTACAGTCAATTTGCATCTTTCTTTTTTATTTGTGTAGATGTTGAGGAATGGGGAAATTTAAAAAAATAAAAGTACCTGGAAGGGTTTCTGAAAATGCCTGGGCTGACAGTGGTCTTGTGCGGTGGCCGGCTGCAGTTGGGCTCAGGTCACCAGCCTCTACACCTTGTACAAAGGCTATGGGTGGGCCCTGCCACCCGACCACGTGCACATATCAGAACAGTAGAGGACACCATGGACCACGTTCCTGTAATGTGAGTCATCACCTGTAATATGAGTCATCACCAAACAAGAGGAAGCACCCTTGAAAAAGTAGCCCATCTGTGGGTCAGAGGTGGGGGAGGAGGGAGGCTGTTCACTCATGAAGACTGAGAGGACACAGGGTCAGGCAGGCATTGAAGGTGAGGGAGTGGAGGCCATCGTGATGGGGGGAAAAGCACTGGCCTTCCTTTCTCTTGATTGAAATCTAGTTCTGTAATTTATTAGCTCTGTGCCTTGGGTACTTCACATAAGCCTCACTTTTCTCATTTTCAAAAGGAAATAATGACGGCGTCATAGGACCAATAAGGATTATATAAGAACAAACATTTGAAAACACATTTGTTGCCTGTTTTATGGCTCTGGCTCTGGTTGGCCCAGCTGCCCACATTCATCCCATTTTCTAGGCTTTGCAAATGGCAACAGGCAGCTGGCATCACTTTGCTCAGCAGTTCTCCACTGACCAATCCTTGTGAATTGGTGTAAGAAATAAAACATATTTCAGCATTTGTTTTAGGCCTCCTTTTCCATTTCTATAGATCCTCTGCAGCACACAGAACCCATCTTAGGAGGGTATTTTTCCCCGCTCTTCCATTACAACCCCTTTAGGTACAGTCTTTTCCTAGCTACATGCTACTCATCCTTTAGATCTCAGACTTTATCATACCTCAGGGAAGCCAGCCTAAGTCTTCCCATTAGACATTTCCACAGAACCCTGTATTTCTCCCTTGAAAGAGTTAAGACAGCTGTAATTTGAGATTTCTAAGAAACCTCACAGAGGTGAGGGCATGAGTGGGGGGGTTGGGGGGGTCATGGGGGGATAAGGACACATATGTGATACCTTAATCAATAAAGAAATTTAAAAAAAAAGAAACCTCACAGAAGGCAGGACACACTTGCTCACTGTCTCCAGTGCCTAGCACAGAACCTGATATGTGGCAGTTGATCATTGAATAGACAATTATTATTTTAAAGAATTCTTTAATTGTTCCAAAATAAAGGGTATAGTTAAGTGAATTATGGCACATTCATAAAATGGAATATTATTTAGCCATTCAAAATTGTAGGCTGTAAGTTAGATATACATATGTAATGAAAGATACCGAAATGTTAGCAAGGCATATATTTGAATGGCAGGATGATTTTTACTTTCTTCTTTACACTTTTATTAGATTTCACAAATTTTCTATAATAAACACAAATTATTTTAATAATGACAATTTTTAAAGGAACTCAAAAGTTCTTTATTCTGAGGAATCAAATCAGAGATGATGATAAAAATTATGTACATACAAGGATGTTCCCAGTAACCTTACAGAGAATAAAAAACATATAGAACAATTTACATATACAGAGGAAAGAATAAGTTATGGCCCATCCACACTCTGAAATACATTTAGCAGGCTTCAAAAATGATGTTATATGTGAATATTTAAAAACATTTAAGAAAAACTCAGATTAAAGAAACATGTCCTGAAATACACCTATTGGGGTATAAATCTTCAGTTTTATGAGTTCTATTTGGATCTCTCCTTCAGCTCAGGTCTTGCCTCCCCAAATCTGCCAAGACAACTAAGACTTGAAGTGTCTCCTGTGAGCATGATGCTCCCATGAAGGCCTCCAGGTGAGTCCACTGCACTCTGTGAGGTTGGTTCCCGTCCCAAGTCAATTCTCCTTATAAGTCTGGCAGTTTGCTGGTTTAGTCTGATCTTTCTTAATCTATTAACTTTTCCATTGTTTCCAATGATTTCTAATTTTTACTCTTTACTCCCTTTTCTTCCATTAACAATTCAACTTTATAAGCACTGCATATCTTAGGAAGGCCCTGTCAGTGGTTTACATACCCATGAGTCACAGAAACACTGCCTATAGGCAGGTATAAACCACCTTATAAAGCCACGTTACACGGCAATTAAGGAAAGCACACTGGCCTGTTATGTCATGTTATGACAACTAATTGTGTCCACTGTAGTGGGATAAATGGATATTGATTCAGGGACTCAGAGAAGCAAAAGTTTTCCACTGATACTGATTAAAAATTCCAAGAAATTTCATGAAGTATTTATCTATAAGGCAGTTGAGTCTGTATATTAAATTATTCAGACCTATATTCAATTAATGTTTGTCAATTATATCTCAATAAAACTAGGGAAAAATATAAATGAAAAATAATTAATACCCCCAAAACATGCAGAATTAATTTATGGTATTAACAGGTGGGAGACAGGAGATAGTGAATGAGAGGAGGTATAGGGGGGTTTCAGGTGGGATAGCAATGCTCTATTTTCTTAATTTGAGTAATGTTCACTTTGTGATTCTACATACAGCTGTACAATTATGATTTGTACATCTTTCCTTACATGTTATACATCAATAAAGAAGTTTTTTAGTCCCGGCCAGTTTGGCTCAGTGGTTGAAGGGCCAAGTTCAATTCTGGTTAAGGGCACATACCTCAATTACAGGCTTGATACCCGCCCCAGATGGGGCACATGTGGAGGCAACCAATCGATGTGTGTCTTTCACAACGATGTTTCTCTCTTGGTCTCTCCCCTTCCCTTTCACTCTAAAAATCAATGGAAAAATATCCTCAGGAGAGGATTAACAAAAAATAAATAAAAGTTTTTTAAAGGCTTTAGAAAATATATTTACCTTTCAGGGGTAGAGGATGATTTTTTCAATTCAATGACCATAATGAGTCTGACAAAAAAATGTTGGTTGCTTACCTATTATTGCCCCCACCCACCCACTGCCCTTTCCCTGCTAATAGGACTCTGACTTTACTCATGTATCTAACTTGGACTTCTCTAAAGTTTTATGATTATATAGCTTGATGCTTTCCCCAGATGAATGAGAACTCTGGGCAAGGAAGAGCCAAATGATGAACAAGATACAAGACTGAAGAAGTTTAACCGCATTATCATGTCCATTAGCACACTGTGACACCGTGAAATAAGTTTTAGTCTCATTAATCCAATTTACAAACAAAGAAACTAAAATTTGGAGTTGAATGAGTCACCTGAAGTGGCAGAGCCTTTGACTCTTCACTCAAACTTCCACTGTTAATTCACTAACAACATGCTACTTCATCTAGATAGCAAACTATAATGTCCTTGTTAAAAATCAGATGCAAGTACCTAATCTTGTAATCCTGCTCACCTATATTAGATCAGTATCCTATAATCACAAATATGAGGAATATAGACTAAATTTGAAAAACATGAAAATATATGGTTCAAAATCAATATTCTACAGGTTAATACAATCACTTTTGCCAGAGTATAATATCCAACCAAAGCATACGAAGGTATATTTTTCAAATTCCCAGATCATATTAATGGTATTAACATGTTATGGATTAATAAGCACCAAATAATAGTTTGCCATTTTGGAAATTGGTATCTTAAGACTTTTTATTAGCTTTTATTAATAATATTCACAATCCTGAAAGTGGAACATATCTCTAGTGGTCAATATAGGGCAGATTGAGGAAAATGAAAATTAAATAATTGTTATTGCTATTTTATTAGTAATAATAACGATGACAATACAGCCTAAATTTTAAACAGGCATAGTCTCCACTTTTTGTGTTTAGAAGAGCTTCGGTTTTCCACATTTCTAATTGACTACCATTTTTTCCTTAATCTAGCACTAACCAGGTGGTTACAAACTGCAAATCAAGTACTGTCACTCTACATTCCAAAGTTGACTCGGAGCCTTGATTTCTTCAAGTGTAAACCAGGGAAGAAAGGGACTTCTGCAAAGCTGGTTGATTATAACAGCCTCAGGCTTTATCAGAAATAAAAGTTCTGAGCAAGGAAGAGACAAACCATCAGCAAGACACAAAGAGGAGCGTCACCCCCTACTCACCCCGACACACACAAACACTCCCTGCGGGTTTTTGTCAAATGCTTTTAAGGATGGAACTAATCTTCTTCATAAAAGCAAATGCTGCTGACCACCGAAGAGGTTTCCTAGGGTTATGCCATCAGCCGCTTTGGGCAATGGGGCTGTTGACTCTTCTTTCCCATTTGCTAGTTCACGTCTAAAATTATGGGGAAATGCTTTTGATTGTGCTTGCAACCCGCTGTGTCCCCAAGTGCAACAAAAAGGTCCTTTCAAAGGTCGGTAAGAAGTCCCAGCAGAGACACCTACTAACCCTATTATGGCAACAGCAAAGGCGACTGTAACTTACTGAAACCGCAATGAAAGCTCATCATTCCCACCAAAATAATAAAACCGAAGGTTCTGTCCCAACGTCACACAGCTTTCGTGGCCGGAGGGGAGGTCTCCGCCCTCGTACGGCTTTACGCCAAAAGCTCCGAGGAGCAAGTGGCTGAGCCTAGGACAGTGAGCCTTGCGCCCGAATTCCGGGAGCGCGGGCGGCGGTTTCTAGGACTAGGTAACATTTCTCTTCCTGTGTCCTCCCAACTCGCTTTAAGAGTCAAGCTGGGATCCTTTGGCCGGAAGATCTCGGGGAGCCCGCCGACCTAATCCTCCGGAGCAGGAAAGAGCGGGGAAGGGGAACTCGACCGACTTCCGGGAATCCCGGCTCACTCACAACCGACTTCCGGGAACGTCGCGGGCCCCACCCACCACCCACCACCCGATGGGCCATTCGCCGCTCGACTTCGGGGCCCCGCCCCCAGCTCACCGGGAGCCCCGCCCATCTCAGGCACCACCCCTTCCGGCATCCCAGTTCGCGGAAGTTTCCCGTTGCAGCCGCTGCCTCTGCGCAGACGTACCAGATAGTTATGTACTTTCGTTTTCGCGGCAAATCTCTCCAAGCTCGAGGCCGAAGGAAACAGTGATGGAATCCGGTTACTTTGTTTTCGCGCTGCCTCGCAGGGTCGCACCCGGGAAGGACGCCGGAGCCTGACGGAG